TGGTGTGCAAGTGGGAATTAATTTATTTGTGAGGGGAAGTGTTAGTCTGCATCAGCTGCAGCGTTTGAGGTGCTTTGTCTGCCACACGTTATTGTCAAGGTGCCTCCAAAAGGCCATGGGGATCACAGGACGGGGGGTTGTGTTTGGTTGTTGCCAGGTCTGGGATGATTGGACCGAACCCACGTGCCAGGATCAGCACGAGGCTGGCTGTGGGTCGCTGCTGGTGCTGCACCAGCGATGGGCTGCGGAGCTGCTGGTGCTCGGGGTCTGTGGCACAACAGACCCACTTGGCTCAGGGTAACCCAGCTGCCTCCTGACCCAAAATCGGGTGTTTCCATCATTTCTTTTTACATATCTCCATTTTTTTTTTTGGTGGCGAGTGAGACAAGAGCACAGTGCATCTGGGGAATCCTACAGCTCTGGACTTCCCTTTGGTTGTGGGGTGGCGATGGCAGGAGGATTTATTTCTTTGAAATCTGGATTCCCCTGTCTCTGCTGTGGTGCCGAGCACGGGCCTGTTCTGGAAAGTGGCGTGGGGAGTGGGAGGTGACCTGGGGTTTGCCATTGATTATTCTGCAGAGCAACATCTGCTTTCACTTCCTGCTTTGGGGCCTAGAAGACATTTGTTTCACTCAAAATGAAACCTTAAAAGCCCCTCTGGTCACCCAGCTGCTTCCATGTGAGGCTGGGCGCCATCGCTCCTGTCACCGCTGCAGCCGTCGGGGACCATGGCCAGGCACCTTCTCCGTGTGGACCTTGCTTGTCCATGGGTGTTCTCCTCCAGCAAGAGTGGCCTGAAGAGGGAGGAGCGATGTGGGGGAAGGTGATGGGAGGCTCATTTGTATGGCAAACGATATTTTAATGTGATGGTTACCAGGCTGGTCCCATAAATACCAGGGAGAAGTGTGGTGCTGGACCTGTGTGGGTGAGGGGGTGGCTGTGCCATGAGGATGCCACCCAGGGGGACATGGTGTGGAAACCATTTGCGGTGCTGTGTTTGGCAGAGCCTGGGTTTGCCATCAGCAGGGACGCACTCATCCCACTCCTGGGCCAAAAAGGAGAAGCAGAGCTGGAAAAGTACTTTTCCTTTCTAGGGTGATGGAGAAGCTGGGGTCACCATGCTGTATGGCCTCAGACAGAGGCTGGGTGCTGGGATCTTGGTTTTGGGGAGCCAGGCCTGTGTGCAGAGCTGCTCCACGGCCCCTGTCCCATTGGCATTGCCAGCACAGAGCCATGGGGGTGGGAAGGGGTGCTTGGCTGTGGGCATCTTGCAAACCTCTCCCCAGCACAGCGAGCTGGTGGCTCCAAAATTACAGCTCTGCTCACACGGCAGGGACCTGCTCTCCTGCCATCCTGTGTCCACTCCAGAGGCCATGTTTCAGTCCCTCCTTGCTTGGTGGCCTCAGGCAGATGACTTGCCCTCTCTCCATGGCCATGGGCTCCCTCACCAGCACTGGGGCTTTGGCTGCTGAATCGAGCACCCAAAGTGCTGGAGGATGCTCAGGCAGAAGGTGTGGTGCGCAAAGCCACACTGAGCGAGAGTCCTGGTGTCACCAAAGATGTTGGGTCTGGAAGGGAGAAGCCTGAGGGTTCCTGGTGGGCTGTTTTGAGAATTTATCCTTGGGTTTGTCCCAGGCCCTGGAGCGTGTCCATGTCCTAATAAACCGTATTTCTTTAAGCGACATGACTCACGCTCAGCCTGAGCGGCCGCCGAGGGACAGGCCTGGAGGTGCTGCCCTTCCCAGACACGTCTCCTCAGCTCCCTCTCTCCCTCTGCCCTTTCAGGAACAGAAGTTTTGCCAGCGCTACGACCAGCTGATGGAGGCCTGGGAAAAAAAAGTGGAGCGCATCGAAAATAACCCCCGGCGCCGTGCCAAAGAGAGCAAAGTGCGGGAATACTATGAGAAGCAATTCCCGGAGATCCGGAAGCAGCGGGAACTGCAAGAGCGCATGCAGAGGTTAGAGGAGAAGCGGTAGGAAGGGGCTGAGCTGGTATCAGACAGCCTTTCTCTTTTCTTTGGGGATGGGGATGGGATTTGTTCGTGGGAGGAGTGGGCTGGGATGGCTCTTGGTCCCTTTTCTCCTCTTCTAGTCCAAGGCAGAGGCCAGCAGATGAACAGCTTTGCTGCTTTTCCTCCGAGGGTGGCTCAGCACAGAGCCAAGAGAGAAGGAAAAATGTCAGGAATATGGTTGCCCATCTCCTCTCTGCTGCTGATCTCCCAGCTGGCCATGTAGGAGCAAGGGACAGCTCGTGTGTGCTGGCTGCCTGGCTGGGACAGCGCTAATTACTGCCTTACCAGTGGGCCTAATTGGAGATGGACAAGCCTGGCAGGTGGATTAGGTCATGCTGATGATTTAATACATGCACATACTTTCATCAGAGCATGGCTAGGGAGAAGAAAGGTCTGCAGAGGTTATAGGAATGATCACAGACAATATGGAAGGAGCAGAGTGTCTCACTGAAAGGGATGTCCCCTGTCTGTCCCATCACCTGTCTGTTTTCTCCTCCTCATTGGAATCACAACTGAGGTCATATTGTTTCCTGCCAGGAGGAGACACGATTTCATGATCTCCACCCTTCTTGCCAAAAACTCCCCATCCTTCCCATTTCAGCCCCAGGATCTTGCCCAGGGACACCTGATGTGTGCAGAACCCAAACCCTTGTGCCAGCCACAACTGTCCTTGTGCCCCACAAACAGTTGGGTGGGTCCAAACTTCCTAATCACTGGCTTTATTTTATCTAAAGAGAAGGGGAGAAACGGTACTGAGAAATGTTTTAAGCTTTTATATGCTTAAGAGAAGTTTTAATTCCTTGGGATGCACGGCTGTTACGTTGGGTGATACTGGTGGGGGGGAAAGATGTCAGTGGCTGGTTTTGATTTAAAAGTTGCTGCAGCATTTGCAACCCAGATGTGATGGCACAGCACTGCTGGCACCTTTATGCCATTGCTGCGGTGTGGTGAACGGGAGAAAATAATGGGGGAGAGAATGGTTGGGTGTGAAATGTCCTTCTGTTGCAGGAGGTGGCTGTCGGCACAGGTAAGGAAGGTTGTTTGAAGCTCTCAACCTGTGAGCCCTAAACCTGGGGGACACGAGGGATGGTGGTCTTTGGGCAGGAGGAAGCGCTGTCAGAGCCCACGGGGCTGCAACGGGCACCATTGTGCAGCGTGGGATGGGGTGGCCAGGGTGGGGTGCTGGGGTGTGGTCATTATGGAGGTCAACAAGGATAGTATGGCCAGTGAGTTGTTGAGAATGTGGTTTACAGAAGGGAGCATCAGTGTCTGAGTGTTTCGCTGCCCTTTCCCAGCAGGGTAGGACAGAGGGGCAGCGGCGGGCTCTCCATGTCGGCCGCGCGCAGCGAGCACGAGGTGTCAGAAATCATCGATGGGCTCTCAGAACAAGAGGTGAGACCTGATTGTCCTTTCTCCTCTTCACCCCTCATTCCACTCTTCTCTGAGGTAGCCAGGAGAGCATGGCCAGGTCCCACGGTAAAATCTGACACTAAATCTCACTAACTTCAGGCCACACTGAGCTTGGGGAGGTTGCCCTGATGCCCAATATGCGTTCTGGGCAGGATCCCAACTGAGGTGTTTGTTTAATACCCAGCAGCATCTTTCCAGCTGCCCAAGAGATGTACCAGAGCTGTGCAATGGTTCTGCAGGAGCAAAACATGGAGCAAATCATCCCAGGAGCTGGTGGCTAGTGGGCAGGGTTTATTGGCATTCACTTGCCTCTTAGTGACCTGAAACCCCAGGGTGCTGCTCATCCTGGGTAGCACCCCACAAACACCTCCTGGCTGTTGGTTTAAACTGGAAGCAGAGGTAGGAAGGGAAGGGAACCCCAGGCCCTGGCTTGCTGGGTGGAGGGGTTTTTCTGTTTCATTTTGTTTTGAATGGGCTGTGCGGCTCGACACAGGGGAATCCTATGGAATGAATGGTTTGTATGTGAGCCAGTTGGCCCACATCTTCTGGGAGTGCTCCATTCATCTTGAAACATCCCCGTGACCTTGGCTTCGTTTGGATCTGGTTTCACAAGGGTTCCACTCTCTTGGCACAGAGGAGAGCTGCAGTGAATGGATCGCCTTTGGGAGGGGAGAGCAGCCATTGCCCAGCTATAGCTGGGAAGTTTGCTGCCTGTGTGCCACGGATCGCTCCCTGCCCCGGGTCCCAGGCAGTTTGCTGTTAGCCAGTGATGGTGATGGCCCAGAGGACACAGATCTGGAAAACAGAGGGGAATTTCACAGCTCTGCAGAGGTCATGGCCAAGGCGAGCGTTAGACGATTGGCTCTGACCTCCTGCACAGTATGCTGCTAAACTCCACCCCAACAGCCTTCTGCTGAGTCCCAGGGCATCGCTTTGGTTGTCTCAGAGGAGACCTTCAGAGCTTCCAGCCCTTCCACAGGGTTGGAAGGAGCCAGGGAGGTGAGAGCCAGGGAGCATCACTGGCGGCAGGGGCCAACTCTCCACCCTGACACATTGCTGGAGAGGAGAGAGCTCTGGCTGCCCACCAGTGAGGTGTATCTGCAGCCTTGGCAGCCCGAGACCCTGCGAGGTGAAGGGAGAGGCCCTGGGCTCTCAGCTGCAGGCTCCTGCCAGCTGCCTCTGCCTGCCCAGCCTCAGAAAGCCCAGGGGCTTTCTCCTTTGGGCTGGGGTGGTCTGTGGTTGTCAGGATCGATGCTTGGCTGCAAACTGCCCCTGACCTCCCACCATGAGGTGACACCCCCATCATCTGAAGCAACTATTTGCTAAACAGAAGGCATCCTGGTAGGGGTGAGGAATGTGATGAAGTGAGTTGGAACGTCCATGTCTGTGCAGAGAGCTGTGTTTTAGGAAGAGGACGTTGGTTGGGTCTGATCAGTTGCAGCAGAGAGGCAGAGTGGTGCTGGGCAGGCCTGGGCCAGCAGCTTGCTGGAAGGATTGGGCATTACTGTTCTCCCAGGAACCAGTGTCTAGTTGTAAATTGAAATAACAGCACTTGAGACCTGGCCTTCCTGGGTCAAGGGTTGGAATTTATGTCTGACCAGTGCCATCCCAGGTGACAGGGAGGACTCGGAGTGATGGTGCTGCTAGCAAATGAGAGAGGGTGGCTAGAGCATCCCTTCATCCCTGTAGGGTGGATCTTTGCCACCAGCTGGGGACCACCAGCAGCTCAGCTGAAGGGACAGTCCTGGCGTTCGGGCAGGGAATGGCACAAATGAGACATCACATTGGCTGCTGCATTGTAAATACTCAAGGAAACCAGTGTGCCCAGTCTGTCCTGTCCTGGTGTGCAGCCAGGGCTCTGGATGAACTTTGTGCTTGGATAGGATAGAGTAGAGGATCCGATTATGTCCCAGGGTGTTGCAGTAAGAGGAAAGAAAGGAAGGTTGGCCCTGTTACAGTGACATTTAAAGCCTCCTGGAACAATATGAGGTTTCCTGTGGAAGGGAAACCCAGCGTCTCCCTCTGCTCACCCTTCCAGAAAGCTTGGCAGGGCTGACCCGCATGGGGTGGGGGGCTGAACCCTCACACGTCTGGGAGTTTGGTGGCTGGGAAGGGATGTACATTCCCTGTGCCACCACTGCTTTGACTTGTCCCTCGTCATGGTCAGGAGCTGTTGTGCTTAAGTCAGGCATTTCCACACAGTATCTTAAAGACTTTTACTTCAAAATGAAAGATTAATTGTTTCCTGGCCGACAGCGATAGCCTCTTTCAGCGTTTAATTTACAATTACTCTAGCAATAAAGCTGTCTAGTGCTTGCTTTTGAATTCTCCTGTCCTTTCCTCCCGAACATCTGTCCCCTGCAGTCCCCGTGGGCCCGTGGTGCTGACCAACTGTTCTTTCTGCTTTCCCCAAAGAACCTGGAGAAGCAGATGCGCCAGCTCGCCGTCATCCCACCCATGCTCTACGATGCTGACCAGCAGCGCATTAAATTCATCAACATGAACGGCCTCATGGATGACCCCATGAAGGTCTACAAGGACCGGCAGGTGATGAACATGTGGAGTGAACAGGAGAAGGAGACTTTCCGGGAAAAGTGAGTGCAGCCCACACACCTCTCTCTGTGTAGCCCTTGGGAAGTGTGAGCCAGGACCCACGCAAGGCTTTGGCTGGGGCCTCAGCACACCAAGGCATGAATTTTCCAAGGGCTTGTCTTGCCCCTCAGGGTCACAGCCGTGGTCACTGTGTTGCCTTGGACCTGGGCACAGAGTGATGCACCTGCACAGAAACCTCAGGCCTTTCAATATGGTTGGTGTGTTCGTGCCCATGTGCAGAGGTGTGGGAGCTGCTGCTCGCGACAGGGCGAGAAGTTTTTCTGCTTCTGCATCCCCTGTTGTGTCAGCCAGTTTAAGGATAACACCAGTGAAACCCAAGGCTCCATACCCTTAGTTTTTGGATTTCCATGCTGTCCTTTGGGCACTGTGTGTCCAGGGGGATTCTCAGGGCTGACAACATCCAACCTCCCCAGGTAGACCCCCTCGGGCTGCAACTTCCAGCTGGTGCCCATCTCTCAGCGCTCCGTCCTGCTGTGTGCAGGATTTCCCCCAGCTGCCGTTTCCATGGATTCATTCCCACATCAGACACGTCCAAACCCTGGCTGCGGTGCTTTCTCCTGTTTGCAAGCAGTGCTTGAGAACAGCTTTGCTTTATCAACTGAGATCACTTGAGGAATTGCTGATCCCTTCCCTGGGTACCATCGTGCTGCCAGCCAAGCTGTGGGTCCCAGCTCAGTCTCACATCCAGGCTTCTCTGTATCTCACACCCAACGGGGACCCAGGTGTGTTTGCATGGAGGACCAGAGCAACCTTACTGCCCCAATGTGCCTTGTGTGTCCATAAAAACAGAGCTGGAGTTCAGCTTCCAGCAGGATGAGCTCTGCCAGGGCTCGCTGCTCTGGACATGAGGGACACGGGGGTACGGGGCTGTGCCAGAGCCACCTCATCCCTTGTGGCAACACCACCTTAATCTGACCTCCGTACGATCATGAGATGGCTCCATGGATTACCAGCAGGCCCGTGGCCAGCCATGCTGGGAGCCTCTCCGTGTCTGGAATCCCTCCTCCTGTCCCTGCTCATGAGGACTCCTGTTTGCAGCTGAAATATCTTAATTGCCAAGATGAACCGAAAAAGAACAAAACAAGCAAACTGTCTCCAAGGCTTTGGTAGAGGAGAATCCTCCTTGCTAATTAGCCTTAAAATGTGACACTCCAAACAGCAAGGCTTGCCCGCAAATGACGCAAAGGCTAATTACTTGGTCTTTAATGGTGGGGCTGTGCCTGGCTAATGGGGCTGGAAGAATCCACACCCAGCTCATGCATCCTGCTGTGCACGGTGGTTTCTGTGTCATCACCGTGGATGATGTGGAGCTCAAGGCACAAATACAGCAGGATTTCAGGGCTCTCACAAAGCTCGTTTTAAGAGATGGGTACTTAGGAGCTGTAAGAAGGGCAGGGGGAGCCCTGCACTGGCTCTCGCCCCGATCCCAGTGTGTGGGTAGCCGAGCTGCCTGGTGTGCTGCAGCTTCTGACCTGGGTATTTAAGACGAACCAAAGTTGTGTCATCTGTGATGTGACCCCGAGCTGGCCTCTTCCTGAGATTGTGAAAACCTGGTGCAACCTTTTGTTCAACCCTGATGACAAGAGCTCTTGGAGAGAAAACAGCCCTGTTTCCCCGGGGCACTGAGCTGTCAGCTCCTGGGAGCCAGCAGAGCCTTGTGTGCTGAGCAGGGCTGGCCCTGGATGCTGGGCTCCCCAGGGCAGAGCCTGTGCCCATGGCAGCCTCTCTGCCGGGAGCAGCACCGTGCTCCAGCCCTGGCACAAACTCACCGCTCGCCGGGCTCCCCGCGCTTCGGCAACACACCAGTGAACTGTTCTCCTGAGCAGGGAGCACCTCTGCCAAGGGCTTGCTGGCCTTCAAAACTTTCCCACCAGCTAGGCAAAGGGATTTGTTGGAGGAGACATCTCTGTGCCCAGGGACAGCTTCCTCCTGGTGGGCGATGCTCCTTCCTGGGCTGTGGAGCCGTGGGCGAGCCTGCTGACAGCTCCTCTGCTTGCTGGGCAGGAGGCGGCGTTCATCGTTCCTTCTTCATCGTTCCTCGGAGCTGCTGTGCCACCGGGGATCTCTTGAGCAACTTGTGAGCAACGTGGAAGCGCTGTGCTTCCTCCCGGGGTTTGGGTTTCCCTTCCCATCCTGTGCTGCTTCTCCTGAGAGCTCAGCCAGGCTTGGGCTCCTGCTCAGCAGTGGGGACAGCCCCAGCTGTGCTGCAGGACACTTGTGCTTGACCACTGATGGTCATTCCTCACCCTTTCCTTGCCAAGTCCTGAGACCTCAGCCAGGTGTGCAGCAGCTGTCTGTGCCCATCCTGCCATTGATACAAGCTTGGGTGGCCATGAGATTGAGCAGGGTGACCACTGGCTGTCGGGCACTGCCGGCCCCACTGCCCTCTCCCACCCCATGGTGAACATTGTGCATTGAAGCTCCCAACCAGGCTGGCTCCACTGGGCTTAAATTTACAATTCCTGTCTTTCTGGGAAGCTGAGCAGCAGGGAAATATTTTCTCAACTCTTAAGTCCCTCGAGGAGCTGGCCTCGTCACTCTGGGCACACAGGGCACAGCAGCCCAGCTGCAAAGAAGTTTGGAGCTGGCACCCACACTAACCCTCTCCCTCTTGCTCTTGCAGGTTCATGCAGCATCCAAAGAACTTTGGCCTGATCGCATCCTTTCTGGACAGGAAGGTAAGCCCCCCTGCCTGGCTTTAACCTGCCCTCCATCACGCAACTCCCTTTGGAGCAGCTGGCAGATGCTGGGCACCTGTGGATGGTGGTGGCTCAGAGCCCCAGGCATGGTCCCGATATCTCCTGGCTCCTTGCAAGAGACAAGGGACTGACTCAGCTGCGAAGAGACAGGGAGCTCAGAGCCACGAGATGTGTGAACGCATCCAGCCTGGCGCGTAGGCGTTGCAGCCCACCCCATGATCTGCCTGGAGGAGCTGCTTTCCAGCATCTCCCGGAGGCATTTTGCACCAGGCGGGCTGTCACACAGCGGGTGTGCGTCCCAGTTCATCCAGCAGCTCGGGTTGGTGTCATGGAACACCTCCCCTTGGTGTTTGGGAATAGTTTTCTTGCAGAAGGGCCTGACCTTTCCCAGCCCTCTGTGTTGTGTTTCTTGGACTTTTCCTTTCTGCTGTTAATTGGGCTGATGGAAGAAAGGTTTGAAAAAGAGAAGGAAGAGCGAGTCTCTGGTTCCATTCTGAGCAAGGCCAGGTACCTTTTGGTACCACATGGGCAGATCCTGGACAAGACCCAGCCTGGAAAGACAGTGATGGACTGGAGAGCTGCTGCTTCTCTGGTCCTTGTAGTTAGTTGCATTCTCTGCCCATTTCATGCAGTGTTTCATCCACATGCTGTCCACTCACTCTGGGGGAACCTCTCTGCTTTCAGCAGGGTGACCTGCTGAGGTCTCTTCCAACCTAGATTATTCTCTGATTCTGCATGATTCAGGCTGGGAAAATAATTGATAAGACTTTACCTTTCCTGTCCAAAGCAGCAAGCAAGCAAAGGCCAGCAGCAAGCTCGTGCTGCTGCTGTCGCTGTGAGATACCAGGCTCCTTTCAGCCTTCCCCACTTGTTAAAGCCGAAAGCGGTGGGACTTGGATGATGCTCACAATCCAGTCTGTGTTCCAAGCTGTAAAATGTCTTCTAATTTTATTTGTACTCGTTTGTAAATCAGGCTGTAATTATGATACAGAACACATCCATTATCCTGTTGGAGAGAGATGCAAAGTATGGCTCAATGTAATGAATTAATAGATTTTTAAATTGCATTATAAAAAAATAGTGATCTTAGCCCTTGGAACAGATGACTGTAAGTTTTTGTGTTCGCGCGTGTGTGTATAATCAGGGCTAGATTAGAAAGAGATCCAATTAACACTTTCAAAGTTGCAATCTGTTTTTGCAAATGGTTCCACTCCTTGCACAGGCATGGGGAGAGCACAGCCCCCCTGCACCCCGGGAGCACACAGCAGCACCCTGCTCCCGGGCGCTTGCAGGCGTGAGGGGGCTGTGGGATTATTTCTGTTCAGGCAAGTGCTGATCCTGCGTGTGAAGGTGTAGCCCAAGACCAGGGTTCAGGTGCCCGCCCAGTTCAGCAGAGGACTGTTCCCAGCATGGCACACTCTGTGCTGTTCAGGAGCAGAATATGTCCTGGCCACAGCTCCTCATTTTCCTAACGTGTCCAATCCGGGACGGCGCTCATGGAGCCAGCTGCTGGAGTTGGAGTTGGGATGGTGGCTCCTGAGTGCCAGGATCTTAGTCTGTCCACGAGAACATCCTGTGTGCTTGAACCAGGGAGCTTAACAGCTGGAAGTAACAGTAGCTGAAGGTGGCGTGGCAGGTTGTGCCTGGGTGACAGGCAGCTCTCCTTCTTCTGCCTTTAGTTGCCACAGTCCTCTGGGGTCAGCCCTTCCCCCTGCTTTGCTTCCAACACGGGGTGCTCTCTGCTCTGCACCCCCATCTCCATCTCGGCACGCCTGCTGAATGGCTCTAGTCTGTCCCATGGAAGAGCTGAGCCTTTTGACCAGGACAACATGCACTGCCCTCCTCTTCCAGCTCCACCAAAGGGCTTTGGGAGGGAGGTGTGGGGAAGCCTGTTTGGGCTGCAGATCTTCAGAAGCAGCAGGAGACCTGGCAATGGCAGGGCCTCAATGCTGCTCCTGGAAGTCTGTGCCCCGACAGTGCGAGGGGATGGGACCTTCTGCTCCCTGACTTGCCCATGTCATTGCAGACGGTGGCAGACTGTGTCCTGTATTACTACCTGACCAAGAAGAATGAGAATTACAAAAACCTTGTGAGAAGGAATTACCGGCGGCGCGGGAAGAGCCAGGTAAGATCTGGAGGAGCATGTGGAAACGTCGTCCCTTGGGCTGAGCAAGGAGCTGCAGTGCTTTGCATTTGCACCTTCTCAGCAGCACTCTCTCTGAGCACCCCAAATGCTTCTTTACTTCCCTCCCCTGATGGAGATCTTGCTTGCAGACTGTGATGGGGCTGTGGTTTTGCTTTGTGTAGCTTTTTAGAACATGCTGTTTTCTGGCAGTTGATGTTTGCCCGTCCCTGTGCCAAGGTCACAGTAGCTTTAAAAAAGCAAACAGCAAACCCAAGATACTTGAGAAAGGGGATGGAGTGAATGCAGAAAACCTGGCCAAGCATCAGGAGTAGCATGGGGTTGCCCATGCAGAGGCTCTGTGAGAGCCACAGGGGGATTGTTTTTCTCTCCCCTCTGGAGCTGACATGCCAACAGGGATGGGGCTCCTGGGAGCTGGGAGAGGGTGCTCCTGCCTTGCAGAGCCCCCCCAAGGCTCTGCCTGTGGGCAAAGGTATGGGAGGAGAATGACTTGGGTGGGAGTGACTTCTGGTGACCACCTGAGCAGAGGCATATAAATTTATCTGAAGTGCTAGAGGGTGTCAGATCCCTGGTGGGGCTGACAGAAGCTAGAAGAGACCCTTAACCCTTTGGTTAAGGGCCAGGCAGGTACCTAGGGCACCACAAGGTGCCTGGGGGTAGGTGACTGAATCAGCCCTTGCCGTTACTGTGGCCAGGATACAAATCTAGACGTGACCATGGCAGTGTTGCTGCTGATACCATGATACCCAGGTGGCCAGATAAGTGCTAATCTTTCGGGCAGGTACCTTGTCCCTGCAAAGCGCTTTCAGCCAGAGCAAGGTCCCACTGGTGGATCCCCAGGTCCATGAAGTGAACAATTATCCACATCATGAGGAGAGTGAGGTGACCACAAAGGGAATATCTCTCCAGATAACGTGGGGATAGGGATGGAAAAACTGGCCTGGCCCATGCCACCACTGACATCAGCAGCTCCTCACACTGCATGGCCATAAAAAGCAGCACTTGGGTCTAGATCCTGATTGGGAGGCAGATAGGTAGCCTCACTCCAATTTGATTTCTGCAGCATTAAGACATCAGAATAGCTAGCACATGACGAATGTGATGGATGGGGCCCAATTTTCCCTTCTTTTTTTCAGAGACATTAGAGATGGATAAAGCCCTATTAGATTATCCAGTCCCTCTCCCAGCACACACAGGGTGGTTCCCTCCAGTACATTTTTATAGTGTTTACCATGGTCTGTTTTGTTAGATCACAGCAACTAGAAGATGAGGCCACATTTGTTTCTTGTTAGCGGTGGAGACATTTAGCACAGCTCATTCTGGTTTCAATGTTAAGTTGAGCAAGTAACAAGTGTGGAGGGAGCGGGACAATCTTAACGCTCTGCTCTGCATCTGCCTACCCCTGCGGCCACAGACCTGCCCATCCTGCGGCCACAGACCTGCCCATCCTGCACCCAGCAGGTACTATTTGTATTTTAGTTTTTAAAAGTATCCAGAGCATCGCTAGCTGCAGAATTCCCCACAACGCTTCCCCTCCCTTATGAGTTCGGTCCATCTTGGGCAGTGGAGATCATGTGCAGCCATTTGGAGCCTTGTTCAGTGCCAGCTTTTGGAAGCAAGGACTTGCTGTGTCGGCTGGAGTAAAAGGCAGGGCTGGTTTTGCAAGTAGGGGACGGTAATATTTGTAAATCATTAAGAGGGAGACTGCTGGGCACTGAAGGGAGCGGGTTGTACCTCTGCTGAGGTGGAGTCAACCAGAACATTACTGATTTTGAAATAAGAGTCAGATCCCTGAGTCTGAGGGCAAAAGGAAACCAGTGAATATTTCCCATTACTGCTGGATGCTCAGGTGGAAGGTGGGATGTTCAGACAAGCATTGAGAGCCAAGGGCTGGCTGCAGGAATAGCAGCAGGAGGGAGGTGCAGAACAAGAGTTGCTGCATGCAGTCCAGCCCGGAGCAGCTCTCCCCCATGGATCTTGGGGGATCTGGAGACACACACTTTGTGCTGTGATACCTCCAATATTTCTGTACATCACTTGCACCCGTTCCCTGCGCGACTGTGTGTGGAGAAGCGCTGGAAGAGCCTCCGTGCAGGCTTGGGAAGGGCACGCTGCTGCAGAGCGGGGACAGCGGAGGCTGGTGAGGCAGGAGGTCACAGAGGCAGGCTGTGCTGGGGAGAGAGAGCCGTTCTAGGGTGAGATTTTAAGTTAATAAAGAGAGGAATGTGGTGTTAAAAGTCCTGCTGGAAGCTGGTGGGAGCGGTGAAGCATCTCCCCTGCACCCCCTTCACAGAGCTGGAGTCTCCTCTGAGCGCGGTGCCGATGGGACAGGCTGGGTCAGCATGCGACTGTGCAGACCAGCACGACAGAGGTTAGGTACTGGCAAATCTGGAGGACTGGGATGGAGGGATGCTCCTGGTGGGATTTTTGCTAAGTGTGTCTCTTCAGAAGCTGCTCAAATTCTCCCACCAGCTTCTGCCTGTGCCTGCAGAAGGTTGTGCTGATCTGGGAGTAACCCATCCAGAGGCTCAGCCAGCACCTTGGTTGCCCATCATCCCTGCTTGTCCCCAGTGGGTCCTGGATTAATTTTAACCCTCTGCAGGTCTCTCATCTTGTTGCACATGTGGCCTTGCAGAGAGTTGGGGCTGTGGTTGGGGAGCCTGGTCTCAGCCAGCAGAGATGGCAATGGGATGAAGGACAGGAGACGTGGTGGGACAGCACAGGGACAGGCAGCGTGCAGGGAGGAGATGGGGCTGCAAACAATCTTCCTGCAGCATCAGGAGACGTAGCAGCTTCCTGCAGCATCAGTAGATGTTCTCAGCACTGCCCGTGCTCCAAGCACGGATTTTCCTGCTGGTAAGAGTTCAATCAGTTAAACACCAAAAGTGAGATTTAATTGATTTAGAGGAGAGGTTGACTTTGATATCAGATGAGAGGAGCAGATGAGGTCTGATACAAATAGCGTTTCAAGTGGCCCTATGCTGTTTTCTTCCTCCTTTTCTCACGGAGAGGTTGGTGGTCTTATTTGCTCTTGGAGGCTGCGGGGAGCTTGAGAGTGAAGTAGAGATAATTACACGTAGAAATAAAGCTACTCTGCTGTCAAGATTATCATTGTGGCCTACTTATTAAAAGTCCATTAAAAAATAAGAATCCCACTGCTCCCTGGCTGATGGTCCCCTGGCAAAGAATATTCCTCATAAAGCTGCTACTTATTGCTCAAAAATCTCCTGCCAAGAGCGGGGACTTCACATGATTCTGCTTCCAGTTTGTCAGAAAACGGAGCAGCCGCCCGCTCCGAGTCAGGGCGCATGCTCCCGGCACGCCGCCTTCCCCGGCGCCCATGAATGAAAGGAGCAGGCATCTGATGGATCATTATGCATCATATTCAGGCTCCTGAGATGAAGATCCTTTTCTAAAATAATCCTCTGCGTTTGGGTATGGAAAATGCCATTTAACCCTGAAAAGGGGAAATCAGTGGGGAAGAGAAATAACTTTCAAGCGTGTAATTTCTCATTGGAGGGGGAAAAAAAAAAGTTTGAGTCATGGTAAAACGATCTGATCCTATATTCAATGTACAGTAATAAGCATAAATTTGCATGAGCTTGTAATGAAAGGACCTTGCACGGATGTGTCGCCTGGGGGGCTGTGGCAGTCGCTCTTCAGGATGTTTCAAAGAGCATCTCGTTGCGAATGCCCCTAATTCTGTAGTGGGGGGCACCAAAATTTGAAGGTAGGCAATTAGTGCCATGTGCTCCACTCTTTGGGCAAGCTGTTCAGCCAGGCTGTGGGAGCACAAGGTTGGGCTGGAACTGTGCTGGAAGGAAAGTGACTCTATTTCAATATTCCAGAGTAAATTTGCTTTGATTCTGGAGTAGCGTTGCCCATGTGGCACTCTGGTTATGCTTCCTGCAGTAGTGCTGGTGAATTCCAGAGGGGAGAAGCCACCCAGCTCCTGTGTGGTGCCGGGATGGAGAGGCAAGTGGCCATCCTGCCAGGCAGAGCCACTGATGCTCTCGGTCGGCAGCAGCGATGGGCGGCCGGAGGAGCCGCCTGCCCGCCCTGGGGATGACTCAGAGGTGGATGAAGTCATGGGCCGCGGTGGACATGCCGTCATGCCGGACTCCCTCGGCACTGCTGTCAGACAGAGCTCATGTATTCCCCGGCAAAAGGGCCCCGTGCGTTAGCGCTGACGCTTTCGAGGACTTGCTCCGTGACACCTGGGGGGGGATGCCCCTTCCTCTACCGGGGAGCTGTGCTGGCGAGGTGGGGGCTGTGAGGTGACCTGCCCCCACAGCCAGCACGGTCCCCTGCCAGGACCAACAGCCTTTCCCACCCTCTTCCCTGCCCCCTGCCAAAACCCAAATCAAATTATCCGTCCCGCCGGCTGTCCCGCCCTCCCCAAACACAAACCATTCCCCTCGCCGGCGCGGAGAAGCAGCCCCAGCCTGGATTTTTATAAACAACCCGTTAACTTGTTTCATGGAAGCGCTGTCCCAGCCGGCAGGGCTGGCAGGGGCTGGGGCTGCCGGACGGGGGCTGCCTGCCCACAGCTCCGGGTCTCTGTGCACCCTGTCCCCAAGCACCCACCATGGTCCAGCCTTGCCCTGCCATCACCTCTCCTCCCTCTGCCAGGAGCAGGTCCAGAGCTCAGCAAACTGCCCCTTACCCCGCACATTGCACATGTGCCCCCGCTCCGTTAACCACAACGGCTAACGAGATGGATGGTGTTTATTTATTTCTGGGAAGCATTTGATTTTTATCAGTCTGGGAAGTGGCTCATCAGTAGTGACAAAGCATTTGACAACTTCTCTTTCAGACCTGGGGAGATATTTGTCATAAAATCCTGGTTTAATAATGCAGCACATCGTACAGGAACAGCCCTGGATGTGGCCAGTAAACTTCGCTGCCACAAATCCCCATAAATTATGCTGTGAGCGTTTAAGCCTGTGCTGACTTGAGCACTGTATTTTGGAGAGTATTTT